TCCACCTGAATGTGCACTGGCTGGTACACGTAACATATGGAACCTCTGGCCCTGTACTAGCTGGTGCATGCAAGACTCAAGTCTGAGGTCACCCCAGGCAAAGTTTCATGAGGAATTCTCCAATTAGATGGCTGAATTCAAACCCTGGCTACAGGGAAAATCACAGGACGTGTGTCACACCTTGGAGTGTATGTATAGGGACTGGGCCTTCTACTTGCTGATGTCTGTCCAGTGGACAATATAACCAGATGAACATAGGGCAGGCGGTGGATGGGGCATGACAGCCAGCTCATCTAGGCCAGCAGAGAATGGAAAGCAGAACAGGTTGGATAACTCTTCTGGCTTGTGGTCTGTGGATGCACTAAGGTGGACTTTATTAACCAGCAAACCTTGGAAAGACTTCCTCATCGTTGACGCAACAAAACCGACAAAGCCCCAGAACTACCAAAACCACTCAAGTGGGGCCAACAGCAAGATCCCTACCTTGCATGCACCAGGATCCCATATGTGTGCCATTTCATATCCCAAATATTCCACCTCCCATCCAGATCCCTGCCTGTGGCCTGGGAAAGCAGTATAAGATGGCCCTGAACACATGTGGGAGACCCGTAAGAAACTCCTGGCTCCTGGCTTCAGATCGGCTCACCTCCAGCCATGTGGCCACTTGCAGAGTGAATCATTGGATGGAAGATCTTTCTCTCTGTATCCCCTTTGCTCTATTAATCTGCCTTTCCAAGAAAAACAAATCTTAAAAAAAAAAAAAACACTCAAGTAACACCCTTAAACATCCTTCCCCGCATTGGCATCTCTAAGGCATCATCAAACGATCGTCCCCATCCCCGAGTGATGATGCAATCTGACAGCAAGCAGGGGCCATCTTACTGCCCTCTCCATCCTGTAGATATAGGAAGAAAAAAAAAACCTGAAACATTTGCACCACCCACCTTCCTCCATACCTGACTGTCCCCACCCTAATCAGAGGCATACAAGGGTGTGCATTACTCAACTATGTAAATAATATTAAAAATAAAACAGAACATTCTAAAGTAAGAAAAATCAATACAACCCACAATAGACTAAAAAAAAAATCACAGAACACTAATTCACGCACAAAAAATGACAAAATTCAATATCCACTGATGATAAATAGTCTAAGATAAAAAAGGTGAAAGTTACTCAATTTGATGAAAGAATGTCTATGAAAAATTTACCATTAATATTACCTGTAATGGTGCTTTATCCCCTGTAATTTGGGACATAATGTGCTCACAGATTGGAAAACACAATGTAGTAAAGATGTCAATTTTTCCTAAATTCATACTGATCTATTAAATTTCAATCAAAATTATCTAAGAGTTTTGATAGATTATTCTACACTATAAATAAAAAGCCAAAACAAAAACAACTCAAACAACTTTTTTTTTTAATTGGAAATGCGGATATACAGAGAAGAGAGACAGAGAGGAAGATCTTCCATCCGATGATTCAGTCCCCAGGAGGCCGCAACAGCTGGAGCTGAGCCAATCCGAAGTCAGGAGCCTCTTCCGGGTCTCCCACGTGGGTGCAGGGTCCCAAAGCTTTGGGCCGTCCTCGACTGCTTTCCAAGGCCACAGGCAGGGAGCTGGCTGGGAAGCAGAGCTGCCGGGATTAGAACCAGCGCTCATATGGGATCCCGGGCGTGCAAGGACCTTAACCATTGCACCATCGCGCCGGGCCCTCAAACAACTTTCACAAAAATAAAATAGAGGGCCCGGCAGTGTGGTCTAGCAGCTAAAGTCCTCGCCTTGAACACGCCGGGATCCCATATGGGCGCAGGTTCTAATCCAGGCAGCTCCACTTCCCATCCTGCTCCCTGCTTGTGGCCTGGGAAAGCAGTCTAGGATGGCCCAAACCCTTGGGACCCTGCACCCACGTGGGAGACCCAGAAGAGGTTCCTGGCTCCTGGCTTAGGATCGGCTCAGCTTTAGCCTTTGTGGTCACTTGGAGAGTGAATCATCGGAAGGAAGATCTTTCTCTCTGTCTCTCCTCCTCTCTGTATATCTGACTTTCCAATAAAAATAAAATAAATCTTTAAAAAAATAAAAATAAATAAATCAAATAGAAAGAATCCATCTGTTTCAAGATTTATCATGTAGCCAGTCTGAATTCAGCTGCTCCATTTCTGATGCAGCTCCCTGCTAACGCGCCTACACTACAAAAGCAGCAGCAGATCGCCCAAGTGCTCAGGCCCCAGCACATCCATGGTAAAACTGGAAGAAGCTCCTGCCTCCCAACTGCAACATGCCCAGCCCTGGTGGCTAACACGGGGAGTGAATTACATCTCAAAACATCCTTATTTTAAAATCACACACACAAATTACAAAGAGATATCACTCAATACCTTAAACAAAAAATAGTGACAACACCAAATGTAATGAACATGCAGAGGAAATATCAATCACACACTACTGGTAAAAATACAAAACATTACAGCTACTCTACAAAGAGCTTGACAGCTTCTTTAGAAACTAAAGTAACTATCACACAGGAAACTGTTCATGAATGTTTACAGCAGCTTTATTTTTAATATCCCCAAATTGGAAACAGCCAGATGTCCAATGAATGAACAGTAAAAAGAATCATAAAAGTACATCCATACTATGAACTACCACCCAGCAACAAAAAGGAAGCAACTACTGTTAAGTGCAACCTGGATGAATCTTTAGAAAATCATGCTGAATAAAGCAGCCAATTCCAAAAGGTACTTGCTGTCTGTTTCCACTCATAAAACATTCTTGAAACGACAGAATTATAGAAATGGGCAACAGATTAGTGTTTACCAGGGTTTTTAAGCAGACAGAAGAGGGAGGCAGAACCATTGAAAGATCAGCAGGAGGAAACTTTACAGAGCCAGAAATGTTTTGTATCATATCTGTCACGATCATAGGTGTGATATAATCCTATACTTTTACAAGAGGAGCCCACTGGGGGCAACAGGTGCATGTTATCTTTCTGAATCATTTCATACAACTGCAAATGGTTCTATGATTATCTCACACTAAAGTGTTTAATTAAAGGAAAACCAAAAAAACTGGGGCTGGCACCATGGCATAGCATTCTAATCTTCTGCCTGCAGCTCCTATGTCCCATATGGGTGCTGGTTCAAACTCCAGCTGCTCCACTTGTGATCCAGCTTTCTGCTAACAGCCTGGGAAAGCAGCAGAGGATGGCCCAAGTACTTGAAACCCTGCACCCACACGGGAGACCTAGAAGGAACTCCCAGCTCTCAGCTTCAGACCAGCCCTCCTCTGGATGCTGCAGCCATTTGGGAAATGAGCCAACAGATAGAAGGTCTGTCCCTGTCTCTAACTTTGACTTTAATGCAAAAATAAATCAATCTTTAAAATTTTTTTAAAAAGGGACCTCCACTCACTGTTCTAAGGATAATCGCCCAAATATGAACACTTCAGAATGATGTTACATTAACTCTCCCTTTGTGCTGGACTAAGTGAGGACCCACTGATACAAATGTAAAGTATTATCCCCACCCTCAGACACCATACACTCAAGTAGAGTGACAACGAAAGGCTTCATAAAGGAGATGGAATATGAGTAAATTTTAAAGTGGTAGCACTTCAGACGTGGGGATATAATGGAACATGCATCCCTGCATCCAGACGAAAGATGGAATCCCAATGAAACTGTTGGACATGTGTATAGACAATGGGATGCTGGACTGTCTGACATTGTCTGTACCAACAATGTCAGGGTACACTTAAATAAAAGACTGATAGAACCATGATTCCTTACGAAGGACTACACTATTGTAACAAAATGGCAAAAATCTCATGGGGGGTTGGAGTTTGGGGGGAATCCCAGCCTATACAAAAATGTACCACATAATTCAAAATTCAAGATAAACATATTAAATTAAAAAAAAAAGTCAAGTGAGGAGGGGTCCTCTTAGAATGGCAAACTCATAACGACAGCCAGAAATATGCACAGCACCTGTAGAGAAAGAGCCAGGTGTATGTAGTGAAATCAGGGACAGGTAAGCAGTGTGAGGCAGCAACGGAAGATCTGCAAAGCCAGGGATGGCAGGCACGTGGTGCAGCAGTCACTGGGATGACCACACATACCGGAGTGCCTGGTTCAAACAGCTGCTCCACTTCCAATCCAATTCCAAACTAATCTGCACGTGAAAGGTAGCACGTGATAGCTAGACTACCTGGATCCCTGCAAGTCCCACAGGAGACCAGGAACGAGGACAGGCTCCTGGTTCCCATCTGGTAGCCTCGGCTGTTGCAGGCATGAGAAGTGAACAAAGCAGACGTAAGAAGTGTATGTGTGTCTGCTTTACAAATAAAAGTAAAATAAAAATAATTTCTTAAAAATGTTTAAGTCAGGGTCACAGGAGTTCAAATATTAACTGATTCACAGAAGTTTTCCTCACCAACCCAGCTAACCAAAAGCAGCATGCACCCTCTAACGCCCTTTTACAGCACTTCTCGGAGCTATAATTGACATGTGCATACTTAGCTGCACACTTATTTGCTTAGTGCTGTCCATTACCCAATCATCTTGAGTCTCTAGCACTGGGGCTGGCACACCTTAACCAGTCAATAAATGTTAACTGAATAAATGAACAAACAGTATTTACTCATGACTCTCTTCCAGGAAGCTGTCCCGCTCTTTCCATTATCTGTCATTCCTCTTCACCACAGTCACTCTTTGGCCTGTCTTTTTATCTGTTCTCTCCCTTTTCCTTCCTCCTCAGTCTAGCTCTACAGTCACTGTTTAAACACACAAACTCAGCATATTTTAAAACAGTGGTTCACAACTGCAATACTGTAACACTTCTGCATCTCAACCAACTCTACTAATCAGAAACTCTATGCAAGAAATCTGTTACTGACAACAAAGCACTAAAGTTGCATGTTGTTACGTAAGAAAATAGACATATGCATTACATAAACAAATAGAAGAAAGCCAAAATTGGGCTGTTCCAGCTGCGGCCTTACTTTGAGCGTAAGAGCCTTTTCTCAGTGTGAGATGATCCCATATGATCAATGGAAAGCTGAGCCACCAAAACACACCAGGACAGTATTCCTCCAGGCTACAAAGTCAAGGCAAGGAAAACAAAGAGACAATGAGAAACAGTTACAAACCAAACATCATGGAGATATGATGCCACACTCCAGTGTTTATACCTTGGACTAGATCTTTGGGATGAAAAGAGAATATTAATGAAAAAACTACGTAAATTCCAAATAAGGCCTAGAATTTAATTCTTTTAGAAAAGTTGCAGAGAAGACAATATATATAGTTCAAAGTTATTAATATTGTTTTATATTATTAGAGAATCAGGACATGCAGGGAGCCAGAAGCAAAACTCCAGGCAGGGTAAAGCTTCCATGAAAATCCACAAACAGATACAGCTTCATCTTGACTTTGGTCCCATGCTCCCACCTGATGCCATGAGAACTACCTCCCTTCAGATGCCTTGGAATCAACAAATTTTCATTATCCCAGCATGCTCATTCATTCATTCAACAAGCATCTATTGAGTGCCTAATGCTTAGCACACATGGAAAGTCTCTGGGGATACATAGCTGGAACAAGAAGCCACAATCTCTGCCCTCATAAAGTTCGAATTCCATGGAGGAAGCCAGGCATTTAACAAGTATTTGCATAACTGGTGAGGGCTCCCCAGAGTCCAGCAGCCTGCTGCTTAAAAGCAGCACCAAACCAACCCCTAAAATGCCCATTAATCCAGTTATCACACTTATCTGAATACAGGCGGCTCGGATTTCAAAGTGCACAGGAACAACCTGGAATCTGGTCAAAGTAGATACTGACTCAGTTAACCTGGGGTGGGGCCGACACTCTGCATTTCTTTCAGAAACCCAGGTGATCCGCAAGCCACACAAGGATGAACAAGGTTCAGCTGTGCCACGCATACATCCTCCCCCAGCGCAAAGCAAACTCCAGGAAGGCAAGGCTATCGCTTAGGCACGGCACCACAGTATACCAGGACTTAAAGCCATGCCTTGTCGGCAGCACTCAAGTTGCCCTATCCGTAAGTGGTATGGACCATTTCTTGAAGCTGAACACTTAAAAACTGTGGCAGTTGTGCTTGAAGAATTGATTTTTCAAAAAAAAAAAATTGAAATAGCTACGTGTGGCTGGTGGTTATCACACCGGTCAGTCGTGGGGTACACACACAGGTGAGCTAAACAGCATTGGCTGAGCAATTGCGCAGCTGCATCCCAATTCCACCGCTTAGCTTGCTGATCTGGAAACTTGTAACTCCTCAAGGCAACTTCTTCATCCATGACTTGGGGACAAGGCCTCCTACCTCCCAGGGTTCTCTGTTAGAGCAAGGTGTTAGTTGCAGAGGGTATATGATGAGGGTGACATTCCTTGCCCGCATGCACAAGCTCACCATCACAAAACCTACTCCAACGCCCACACTTGCTAAAAAAAAAAAAAAAAGTCAAGCGAGTTTGTTTCAGGAGTTGGTCGCCCTCTGGCTTTTAAAATGAGGCCAAGGTCACAACTAGGGAAGTTGAGGGAGTGGGGAAAGAGGGACAGGGCCCTCGCTTAGAAAGGCTAGCCAGGTAAGGGAGGCGATGACGATGCAAATGGTCACAATTTAAATCCTTTAAGTGGGCGTCGCATCGATCTTGGGCGAGGAAATGCCATTTTCATTCATTCATTTTTCCAGCTTGGGCTGCCTCAATACCTGAAGTCCGCTACGTCCCAGCCCCCCACACACGTACACACGCACACACACACACAGGCCAATTCAGGGCCGGGTCTTCGTCCGGAGCAGCGCCCGGGAAGCCCCCGCCCCCGGCTGCCGGCCTGTCCTCCCCTCCCCCGTCGCGCCGACCCGGCGAGGGTCAGGCTGGCACCGCGGCTTCAAGTACCACGCACGGCCGAACCAAGAAGCCATATTTAGCGATATTTTTGTCAATAAAACAAACTTCCGTCTTCTAAAGAAAAACGGTTCTAACTCAATGTCAAACTAGGACGGAAACTCACTGCTCGCCGCAGCTGCCAACCACAGACGCCGCGGTGTCCAGCGGTCCCGGAGTCCCCCGACCCCGGACCCCGAGCCGAGCGCTCCCGCGCCCCGGCCCCCCGGCAGCGCCGGCCACAAAGGGACGCGGGATGCGGACACGGTCGGGCCTCCTTCTCCTCCTCCTCCGGCCCCGCGCAAGCCGCGGCTCCCGGACGGCCCGGGCGCGGGCGGACACTCACCTCGCTTCGAGCGCGGCGGGCGGCGGCGCCGAGCGCTCCTCGGGGCCGGCCCGGGCGGTCGCGGCGCGGTCCCCGCGGGCCGCAGCGCGGGCGCTTCTCTCGGGCCGCCGTCCGCCGCGCCGCCTCCTCGGCCACTGCCGGCGGCTCCCCCGGCGGGCGGGCGGGCCCGAGGCGGGCCCCGCCTCCGCCGCGCCCGCTCCCGCCTCCGCGCCGGGCCTCGCGGACTCGGCGTGCTAGTCTGGGCCGCCCGGCATGCCGCCGCCGCCGCCGCCGCTAGCTCAGGGCCGCCTCAGCGCGGCGTGCCCGGGGCCGCAGGGCCGCCCCGCAGGCCGCTCCAGCACGGTGCACCGAGCGCGCCGCGTGCTCGGCGCGGCGGCCGGTGCGGCTGCGCGGGGCAGGCTGCTCCGGCGGGCTGGCGAGGCGGGGGCGCCGCGGCGCGCTCACCCGGATGCGCCGGCCCCCTCCCCTGCGGAGAGCCCACCTCGGGGCCGGGGCCGCCGCGCTTCCCTCCGGGCCCGGGAGGTTCCGGCGACTCGGGGTGGCCACCTTCCCCTGCCTGACCCGCAGGCGGCTCTGGGAAGCGCTGGTCCGGGTCCCCTCCCCCTGAACCAGGGTGCGGACAAAGAGGCTGCGGCAGCAAGTAAAATAGAACTCTGGCCGTTTCACGTCGAGCAGGTCACGGGGTGGGAGGGAGAAAAAGAGAAGCTCCCTCACCGCTCCAAGAGGATTGCAGCTGAAGGGCTGCCGCTGGGTGCTCGTCCCGCCTGGCGGAGCCCTGCGCCTGGAGACGGGCGTGCAGACGGTCCAGGACCCAGGGTGGACGGTGAAAGAAGAGGCCACCGACCGAGCTGCAGCACCCTAGGAGGCTGCCGAGCCTCGGGGTACAGGAATTGAAGAACGGGGACCGTTAGGGAGGTGGGCCGGCTCAGTATCCTTGGGGGGGCCTCCTACGGCGCCCCCTTTGGGGAGTACCCCTGTTAGTACTAATCCCAGGACCCAGGCGTCCGCTGCCCTGAAGGGAAGACAAAACCCTGGTTCTCCTTCACTCACTCCCGGCATAACCCACCGTCTTTTGAGTAATTGGTTTTCTACTTGTTCAGAGGTTTGTGTCCTATGCCTTGCCAGCCAACGCTGTGAGACTTGTATTGTTTAAATGCCCCCCCAAAATAGATTATCTGTGACATTTTAACTATTCTGTGTTTACATTTTCCAGGTAGTATTCTAAAATAGAAGTTAAAAATCACAGTTTTTTAAAGTACTTACTTATATTTTGAAACAAAATCTACTTGAACTAGACTGGTAATGTTCCACCAGAAAAAAAAATTGATTTGCAATAAAAAAATATTCTTTCAAAAATTCTATATTAAAAAAATACTTAGTAAGATTTGGAAATAATATCTAATAAAGGACATGCATCCAGAGTACATGTAGATAAAGAACTCCAGCTACTGAATAAGACCAATAATCCAATGGGGAAAAAAAATGGGAGAAAGGATATTTTACCAAAGAAACCATTTAACTGATCAATATTTACATGAAAAGATATTCAACATCGTTAGTCACCAGGGAAATGCAAATGAAAAGCAACCACGGGAAAGCTCTTCACGCTGGCTGCCAGGGCTGTCTTTAAAATGACAGACAGTAAGTGTTGGTGAGGAGACTTGAGAAGTTAGACCCCTCATACATTCCTTGTGAGAGTGCAGATCCAGAGCCAGAAAGCGGAAGCAATCCAAAAGTCCAGGAACGGCTGCATATGTAAACAAAATGCATAGTTATTCAGACTATTGTTCATTAAAAGAAGGAACAAAGTACTTGCAGATGACACAACATAGAGAAACTTCAAAACCAGAAAGCTCACAGGCTCACTGTGGTTCAACGAGCTGCTGGCTGCACTACCCAGGTCCCATATGAGTGTTTGTTCATCTCCCGGCTGCTCCACTTCTCATCCGGCTCCCTGCTAGGTGCATCAAGAAACAGCAGCAGAAGGCCCAAGGTCTTTGTTCCATGCCATGCACGGGGAGCATTTGAGAAGTTTTGAGGAGTGAACCAGCAGATGAAAGAAGGGGGTGTGTGTATGTGTTCCTCTCTGTAGGTGCCTTTCAAATAAATACCAAAACAAAATGAAAACCTGTAAGCTAAGGCAAGAAGCCAGATTCCAAAAAGCCTATATTGTATGATTCCATTTATGTGAAATGTCTAGAAAAGGGAAAGCTGTGCAGGCTGTCAGTCCCAGGACTGCGGTGAGAATGGAGCATGACTGCAAACGGGCTCGAGAGATTGGTTTCCAACAATAGCGGTGTTCTAGCATTGGCGTGTCGTCATTTCACAGCTCTCGGTGCACTGAAAAGTAATGTAATTCTGCACTTGAGACGAGTTTAGTTTTATGGCATGTATAATTACCTCAAAAATGAAACAATTCTTAAGAAAGATTTCTGTGTACCATTAAGTAGCCCCAGATAGTAGTACATATTTTAGATGATTCCACAGTTCCCTGCAATTAAAAAAAAAAAAAAAAACTAAACCCTTAGAGACATATGGAAAGATTGTAGTTTGCATTCTACGCTGATGAAATGAACTTTTATAATTCGGTTGTATAACCAAACAAGAATACTCTTCAACATGCCCTTCCACAACTACCTATTTCTATTCATTCTAAAATCACTCTTTACCTAGTAGATGAATAGGAAATGAGGAAGAAGAGGTTAAGCATATTGGACAGCAGGATGAAACTGGATGCTGAAGGGTCAAGATTTGCCAACAAGGAAGAGAGTGAAAAGACAGGGAGTCCCAGACGAAGACCTCTAACTTTGTCTTTCCTGATGCTGTTCTTATTTCCCTTTCGTCAAGACTTGCTCGCTTCTTCCAGTTAGGCAGATACTTGCCTCAGCAGAGGAGTCCTGCCTTCGGGCTGGGTAATGCTGTGTTTCAGGATTGTTTTCCATGATTTCATGGCTATTTCAAGGAGTTTGTCATCATTTCTATGATTTTACTATAGGTGGAATTCCCAGAAGACCTGTTGATTGGAAAGGCTGAAGTTGATCCCACAGAAAGGAGCCTGTCTGCCGCGAGACCCTGGTGCCTACCACATGGATGTACAGAGAGGAGCTGCTCCTTTCAGGAAACCATGACCCCTGCATTGTTTCTGCAAGATTTCTCTAAAATGGTGGCTACATGAACCACACTAATAGTCTTTCAACTTGTGAATGAGACCTCGTTGTTCCAACTTTGCTAGAAAGCCAGGGAATGGTACCTAGGAAGGATTTGATTTTAATGGGGAGATATGAGAGATTGCCTAGGGCAGAGTAAACTGCCCAATGCTAATCACTAATTGGCACTTGGTGGAAGGAGAGGGTGGATTGGTTACATAGACCTATGTCAAGTGCCCACAGGATGGGGAAGAAGAGAAAAGTATATTGAAGGAATGAGATTCAAGCCAGAAGTCAGATGGCAGGAAGTATGTGGAATCATGCAGAACCCCCTAAGTGCTGTCTATGACATTTTTACTTGTTTTTGCTTTTGCCAAGCCAAATCCTGCCTTGTAGCAGTAGCCTCAGGTCCATGGGTGCTCTTCTCGTTGCTCCTCTGCACATAGCACCTCGTCACTGTCAGGAACTGAAGCCCGGGAATAAGAGGGACAAAACAGATGGAGGTGGGAGCCCTGATCTACTGTCCTTATGTGGAGATGGTGGGTGGTCAGGCAGGAAGGGTGTGTCAGCATGGCGAGGGCAGGCCTGAGTGAGGAAGATGGAGCCCGCCTGGCATCATGTTTAGTCATGTATGGGTGGTGGAGCAAGTGACTGACTTAATGGTTATTGTGCCGTGCAGTATCCACAAGTCTGAGGATCTGGTTCTTTCTGTCCATCCCTCTCAGAGTCAATGGGACTTTAGGTTACCCTGAGCCCATGTTGAATCCATGGCAGGACAGGGATCCTCACTCACTAGTAAACACAATGTGTGCACACATGTGGCCATTCCCAACTTCCAAGGAATAGAATCAATCACAGTAAATAGGGGGACTATTTGGATTATAGCATTAGTGACCATCAAAAGTATCAAAGTTGAAGGATAACTTTAACTTGCTATTTTGATGTAATTAAAAATTCATAGAAAATTTACAAATTGAACATTCAGTTCCCCCCCCTTGGATATATTTTGCTTAACTATAGAATAATAGCAAAACCAGAAAATTGACGTGGTACAATGTGTGTGTGCAGTTCTGTGCCATTTTATCATGCCACAATCCAGATAAAAGATCTCATCAAATTAACCCTTTATAGTCAAACCCACCCTCACTATCTCTAACTCCTGGTAACCACTAACCAGTTCTCTATCTCTATGGATTTTGTCATTTCAAGACTGTTACATGAGTGGAATCATATAGTATGTGACCTTTTGAGAATTACTTTTTTTTCAGATTTATTTATTTTTATTGCAAAAGCAGATTTAAAGAGAGAAGATAGAAAGATCTTCCACTTGCTGGTTCACTCTCAAAGTGGCCACAATGGCTGGAACTGAGCCAATCTGAAGCCAGGAGCTTCTTGCGGGTCTCCCACATGGCACAGGATCCCAAGGCTTTGGGCCATCCTCGACTGGATAGGGAGTGGAGCATCTGTG